TTCAGAAAGCACAGGACAAGTAGTTTTACTTCTGACCTCTTACTACAGAGAGTTACTTTCACTTGAACAGAAGTAAGTGGGCATCTGTATGCATAAGAGGAAGAAATCTGCCCCTGTTACCAGTCACTGAGGATTAGCTTGTGCACACAATCTCCTCAAGAAAGTGAGAGAGAAGCCCTATAAAGAAACTAGACCCCTTCACCTGCTTGATTTTTGGAGTGGTTCATCACTACCCAACCATTCGTGGGACAGCCACATGTCCCCCAACAAGGCTGGCACAGACACAGCTCCTGGACCAAAGAAGACTCTGCTACACAACCCATGGAGGATGCAAATAAATATCACAGATAAGAACAGGCAAGCTTGCTTTGACTATGCCAGCCAAGAGGCAAGCTAAAAGCCAATGAAATTGTTCCAGGAAAAAGAAAGAAAAGAGAAGCTTAATCTTAGTAAAAATATAGTCCCTGAGCACTGGCGGGGTCAGGGTCAGCTTGGGTTACGTGTTGTATAAGTCCCCATTACACAAGCCAAGGCGGAGCAGAGGCTTTCCCAGGACTATTCAATCCTCCCTTCTCCTGCTCAGTTTCACTGGTTTTCCCTCATTCCTTCCTTCTCACTATCCCTTCATATGATGCTTGCTTAGACATGAAACAAGCCAGTCCAAGTGCTTCCATCACTATGAATTACAAGATCACACACATCACTCCCTCTTTGAATAAAATATGACTGTAGGAGCTTATGAGTGGGCCTAAAGTTGCTCATGTGAGTGGCTGCAATAAAGGCAGCTGCTTACCTGTGTAGCAGAAAAATTAAGCATATTATGCAGTAGGAACTGAGCCTGCTGTAACACACAGTGACCACAGCCCAGGGGCTAAATGCAAGCATCACTTACATCTGTGCAGTTTGGACAGCAACAGCAAACGGTGCTGAGTGGCCTCCTGATAACTGAGAAAAAACACACAAGTAACATAACTGTTACTATTCCTCCATTTTAAACCAGCTGCTGAGGACAGTGTTTTCCCCTTGAAGCATGCATGCTCCTCTCAGGGCACTCCATCATATTCACATTCAGATTCTGTTATTCCATGGAAAAGTGTCATATCAGTGGCAAAATAATATCTTTGCCAACACTCACAAGCCCTTTTTTTGCATCCCAGCACTCACCCTTCAGGCAGATGTTCTGAAAGCAGCTTCAGGTTTGTTTGTTTGTTTGTTTAAATGAAGCAATGCAAAGTAAGGCTGCTTCCCCTAACAGACTTCCAGAGTGCATTTGCTCCAGAAACAGCTTCCTTGAATCCCTCAACTCTCTTATTACCAGATCACTTTTGATTCAATGTTCTGATCACCTGGGCAAAAGGTGCGCTTAAACATACACTTTTTAGAGCAAGAACCTGCTCCAGCACAGTGCAAATACCCTATTTTTTTAAAAAAATTTGACATGTTTAGGTAATTGCTCTCAACTCAGCACACATTTGCAATACTATGAACCACATTTCTCTGGGTTTGTTATTCTAAGTTTGACTCCAAGACCCCAAAAAGCTGCTGAAACATGTTGCCAACTCATCATAATCTTCCAAAGAAAAAGAAGCATAACACTATAATGCAAACAGAAAATTCACTGTTGTTTTGAGAACTAGGGAGAATGTATACAGATACCCCAGCAAATACAATTTGCTTCCTAATCAACAAGAAGGGAAGGTAATTATCTAAAACAGCATTTTCGTGACACAGGGAAAGAACAAAACAGTAATCAAAACCCAGTTAAGTTTGCCATTAGAGCAGGGAGAGAACACACAGTTTTATCTGGAAACCGGAGAGTTTAAACTTTTCAGACCTACCCAGTATTATGCAAAAGAACAGATTTTCTATTATACATTACACAATACCAGACAGGTGTGAATACCTGTACTTTTACTTCCCTGTCTCCTTTACAGACTCCTTTGAAAACCTGCTGTCTTTCCCACATCTATTTTGGGACTCTTCCTTGCAAAGCCAAGATGCCTGCTCCTTGCAATCTGTTTTTTTGATGCAGCACAGTAAATTGCTATTCTTTGAAATGCCTGAAAAAAGGTTTTTGAATGAAGTCCAAAGGAAGATTCTGATTGCCAGTGGCCGTTCTCTCTGTCTTAACCTAGATCAGTTTGACATAAGCCATTTATTTCATAGTTAACCCCAGAAAAATCCTGAAGGGAGTATAAATTTGTGCATTAATCCTGCTCACTGGTTTGATTCCACTTAGTTTGGGATGAAGGTGTCACGTTGCAACCCTCTAACCCATACTTACCTTTTCAAATGCTTTAACCAAACCATTTGGGAAGCCTTCTGTGACTCTCACACAAACTCCTTGTTGCAAAGGAAAGTCACACCACTGTAAGTGCTGAGCATTACAATGAAATATAAAGCAACACTAAAGTTGCTCCGTGCTTAATGCGGCGGTTTAAGCAGCTAATCTGGTTTTGGTTGAATGGCATGTTCATTACAGCAAATAAATCAGTAACGTGTGGGATTATTGAAGAGGAAAGACACATTAAACCAGTTTAGGGCATCATATTGATTTTCCAATTTTTTTTTTAGTTGTCCGATTTAGCTTGGCATTTTTCAACAGTCAGTTCTAATAAATGCTTGTATAGCACAGATTAAGCAGGTGGGAACACTGCCCAGAAAGAGTATTATGAATAACTTAATGCACTGGCTTAATTGCAGCAATCCATGATACTTACTGTGCTGGCACCAGAGGAGAATTTTCAGTATTAAAAGTTAAAAATTCAACTGAGCTACTAGCGAGTATCTTTCTTTTAATAATTATTTGGAAAAAGAAATCCATTATTTTCACCTCAGATGGGAGCAGAGGAAGATTAGAGCTGATGTAACTATTTAACTTATTTCTGCCACAACTAATTAAGATATTGTTAAAAAAATAATTACCATTTACTTGACACAACTTTGCCTCTCTGACACAGCAAAACATTGTAGTGTCCCTGCTGTTTTTGTGCTCACTCAACCCTATTCTGCTCAATCCCCTTTGCAAACAGGATGCACAGAAGTGAAAAAGCCCAAACCTAGCTCATATTTCAAGCAACAGGCTCCCTTCAAAGCTATACACTAGGGTACCCCCATATTCCTTGCCCACAGCACCAGTTTCCTGACACTGTCCTTGCCACAGTTCAGAGCAGATGCAGGAGGAAACCAGTTTGGAGCAGCACCAACTTTCCAGCAGAGCAAAGCATTGGAGCTGCTGCCATCACAGGAGAAGCCGCTGGTCTGACAGCTCCCTAAGCCCACACCCAGTCCTGGGTACTGACCATGCCAGGTCAGCAGAGATGCTGGTAACCTCTTCCAAGTGCAGGTGTTTGATACAGGCATTACATAACTGTGATTGTGGTCATTGATCACATCACCTGTTTTCTTCCTTTCCATGTTATTTTTGTCATAGATTAGATTAGGATCTCCAAGACAGAACCTGCACTTCATCTCTCAGCACAACACAAGGTACCCTGGCTGCCTCCAGCAAGTAGCAACAGGCACCCATCACAACGCTGGGAGAAGTAACACTCCAGAGAAGTTGCAGAATTTACTGGCTTCGCTCTTCCAGTGTAACTTTTCACTTTGGCAAAGATACAGAATGCACATCCTGCACAAACTTAACAAAGGTTAGGCTAAAAATGCTTACATCAGTCCCAAAGGGAAAATTCACAATGAAATATGAAGAAAAAATAAGTTACCCATACATTCTGATTAGAGTACAGTGATTTTGCTAATCACACAGCTTATCATTCCAGAGGAACTCTATATTCATGGCATGAAAACCAAGGTAAAAATTAGCAGAAACACAAGATTTGACAGTGCTTGATTAACTGGGCAGAATGCACCAGAAACAAAACATTAGGAAACTAAAGCCATTTTGTGATTATTTAATGAAGATGTACAAAGAAGCCATTACACAAAAAAAAAAAAAAAAATCTATGTTTAGTTTTTTTAAAAAAAGTTCTTTGTTTAGTGCTAAACAGGAGTCCTCACTCAGCTGAAAACAGAATAAGGAGCTTTAAGGAACCTTTGAACTAGGATTATTTCAATATCACCACACCCAGAAGAAAGCAGTTGCATTTAACTCAGAAGCAAGTCTCTGTTGTCATCCTACTACTCACTCCCAGTTCTGACCATGCAGGCCCCCCACCACAGACCAGTGCAGGGCTCAAGCTCAGCTGCACTGCACACAGCAGTCCCCAGCCTTGCTTCCACCAAGAGGCCAGAGCATCCCCCTTCCAGCTCAGCTGCCATCAAGGTCTCATTCATACCCTCTTTTCTCAGCATCTTCCAACTACCTGTGCACTTCAGCAGCCTCCCCTGTGTGTGCTTACAGACCCCCATGTCTGAACCTCTGCTCCACCCATCAATTAAATCCTCTATTCTTCCCATTTGCCCTTCTCTCATGCAGATTCCCTTTCAAGTTTCTCTTCTGACCATACAAGCAGCTAGAACCACACAGACATTGCAATTCCCCCCACCTTCCTGGACGTCCCTTGCAAGGGACAAGACTTAAATGTGCCTTTGCAAATTGCAGCACTAGAGCAGCGGGCTCCTGCCATCAGGTGAGCCACCCCACCCTCTCCATGGTGAGGCACTGCGCTGCTGCTGTTAAACCTTGCAGCCCAGCAGCGATCCAGCATCGTGCCTGCAGAAGCTCTAAGGGGCTGGTGCAGGCAGCCAAAAGCCTCCCCACAAAGACAGCAAGTTATCCCCACCAGCCTTACTTCTGCACAGTTGCAGCTAACACAAGCCTTTCCATAGACTTCAGGAGGCTTTGACAGGGCTGAAATTCCACCCTCTCAGCAGCTGCTGTTCTGTAATTCAGCACAGCACTGCTTTGAAAAAAAACCTTTCTGATGCTGCTGTCCTGCAAACAGCATAATGAAGAATAATAAGCAGGTGCTTCTGAACACAAGCCCAGAAAAGGAGGAGTATAAAACTACTATTAATGAAGCAATTAAGTAACCACACTATTCACTGTTTAGTGACAATCTTTATTAGAGCTGACTTTGCACATTCAGGGGTTTCCTAGTAAGTATAAATATGAATCAAAGTGCTGCCCCCCGCCCCCACAGTAAGAAATCTTTAATTCTACGGAAAAAACCCAACCAGCATTTCAAAGTTTATGCTTTTTAATACATATAATACGAAAAAGGCAAAAAATAAAGATGAAAGACTAGCAGCAAAAAAAAATTCTATTTCTTTTTCAACAGTCTTTGCTTCCACATTTCTCTAGCAAATAGAGTATAAAGATAATCCAATCAATTTATATATTAAATATCCTACCAAAAATATAACACTGTGTAAAGAAAGTTCACAATAGGAAGTTGGGGTGGGGAGGAGAAAAAAAGGAGAAAATAGTAGATTTAACATTAAAAATCTCAAGTGTAAACTTTGCTGCTGCTTTAAAATCAAAACCAACAAAAGTCACATGAGTATTTCCGTTTGGCTTAGAAGCCAGGAAAATAAGAAAAGCTGATTTTTTTTAAAGTGCTTAACCACCATATCCAAAAGTAATGACTTTCAGACCTATTTAACATGAATGTGCTCAAAAAGCCACCGCTTACAGTATAAAAGCTGTCATTCTGAAATGCTGCACATACAAACTGGCTTTATCTGCACGAATGAAAGATTCCTTTGAACAGCTCTCAATCATATGATGTCCCAAATCAATGTAATGCTATTAGAGCAGGCAGCTGAATAAGTACCAGAATGTTGAAGTTTAAGAATAATAGATATAAAAAATACTTTTTTTTCTTAAAAGGCAGCATGCCCCTCCCAGCGGAATGAAGGTACTGTTACACAAGAGAAACACATTTTTCTATCATTGTTGTTAACTACCTAAAACAAAGTGATTCCTGATCTAGTAATTCACATGTTACACAGATACTGCTTTCTGATAAAACACAAAAAGGCAATCAGGCAGCTGGGACCAGTTGCTAACACAGTATTTTACTAATTATTAAATATATTGTTTAATAAACTTGTTAAGCTTGACTTCAAAACCAACAGCATGTCCTAACAGAACAAAAATAACAAATAAAATTATTAATAAAACAAATTACTTGAAGAGCTTTAGGACTGTTTTTGTTACACTGTTATATATTTATTTGAGCCTTAGTGCAAAGGAAAAATTCAACATTATAGGCTCCAAACCAAATCAAATACAACTATTTCATGGGGTATTTTTACACAGACACAGATCCAAGAGAAATTTAATTTTTTTTTAGCTGTAATAACCATTCTTTTTTATCTCCAGGTTAGAAAATACATTGAAAAATTGGAGCAAAGGCTCTGGCATTCATTAACCTCAGGTACAGTTATAAATAATTTAAACACTACCACTCTCCCAAATCAGAAATACAATAAACAAACTGAACTGCCACTATTGTTGCAGCCATCAAATTGTGCCCATAATTTGGTGCTGAGAGCAGCATCACCCATACCTGCAGTTATTGCACAAATTTCTCCATCAGCTTTGGAGTTCTCAAAGTCTGAATTTGTTTACATCCATCCATTTCACAGGAATAACATTTTAAAACTATTTCTTGAAAGTCACCAATTCCTAACAGTATATTCTTGTTCTTCAGAATAGTTTTTAAGTCAGAGAACCCGCCAGTTCACTTACTGCTAAAACAGATACCTAGAAAACACAACTTTTACCCCACAAAGTTCCTGTAAACACCTCTGTATTAAGCCACAGCAAGCTCTAGACCAGTAAATTCAGCATCTCCAGTGACTTGACTTTACCTCACTTCTCCTCTACAAAAACAAACAAAACATCAAAAATGTTAGAATTAAAAAGGAAAGGAAATGGCAAAATAAAAGGAGTGAAACTTTGTTACACAAGCAGGTATGTAAAATTAGCTTCTGAAAATGTAAGATTTGAAAAGCAACAATTTTAGCGGTTAAAGTGTGCAAAAGACTAAACATGCCACCAGTTTTAGAGAAAACAGAATACTGTAGCCATCAACGATTACTACTCAAGTCCAGCACTGGCAGTTGTGCTGCTTTTGTTGCCATTTTAGACACTATATATTACCACTCTCTCTGCATAATTCATGCCTCTTTTTTAACAGTTGCCAGCAGCATGACTTTTCAGTGGTATAGGAAAGATGGGAACTTTTTTAAAGGGTTCCTTCCATCCCTAGTCTGAGTATTACGTGGAACTAAAAATAATGTTTTAAGCAGAAACATAAAACATTATTTGAAATTTTGTCTATCAAAATCCCCTCAAAAATAAACAAATATAGGAAAATACCATACAAGGAAAGTGTAGCTATTCTACTGATGTGAAGTACAAAAGCTTAGGAACAGAAAAACACAGCTTCAGCCCAAGACTGAAAAAAAAAACCCCACATATTTTTCAAAACCAGAGTCCATACAGTGTCACACAGCCCTGCCTTGTCATGTTTGTTAATCTCCTCGCTTAGAAGTCAGACAGCATTTTGTTTAACTTGTGTTGCTCTGTATCATTACACTAAACCATAATTAACTCCTCTTTTGTGCCGGCCTCATTCCAACACAATTGTACCCACTGTATACCAGCAGCAGCTCTCAGGATTTGTTTTGCAGCTCAGCTGTATTTTTCTTGGATGTTCACAAGATTGGCATTTGACTGGATGCGCTTGGCTAGAAAGGGAAAAATTACATGAAAATTAAACACAAAGAATTCCACAAAACTAGTCTCTCCACTCCCTCTATTTATCCGACACAGACTTGCAAACAGCTTTCTGTTCACGTCCAGAAACTTTAATGAAAAGATATGGCTGAAGCTCTTTACTACCCTTCTTCAGGGGACAGCAGCAGACTAATAGTTGCTATTAGCGCCGTCAGCACAGCTGCAGGCAGATCTGGCTGGGCCTCCTCTCCCACAAGAGCCAAGCAAATCCCTGGCACCTCCCAATCCAACAGTGAAATGCCAACACCACCACTTACGCAAAATGAGTATCCGTTTCTTCTGCTTTGAGTGAAGGAAGCTACTAAGATAAAAAACAATAGGTAGGAAGAGGATAAAGGATGAAACTGCAATCACTGGGACTGTATCACTGCAGGGAAGAGAACAGTTGAAAGTCCTGCTCCAAAGCTTCCGAGTGATGTTCATCTAAAAGGAAAAGAGAAGCAAACCATGAAAGCAAGCACATGCATTTTGTCTGTGCAGCATGGCATGGCAAACACTCAGGCCTCAAGACATGCAAGTCTTCAAGTATCATCTCAGAAAATTGCACTTGAACAGATCTCCCCCCAAAAGCAAGCAAATAGCTGGAAATGTTGAAACAAACTATTTAGATAGAGCCAAGATTTCATCAAAACTTTTATAAGCTTCAAAAACATAACTGTACTCAGATACAAGTAGACACTGCTGCATGCCTGTTTCCCAGAGAGCTCACAGTTAATCTGTGGGGACAGGGCTAATCCAATATTTTTGATGAGCACTCCTTCAGCCCAGTCAATTCAACCCCACAATATACCAAAGCTTTTTCCAAACATATGTCATCAATGCTGAGGATCCCTACAAACAGCTACTGTAATAAGGAATCAATTAACATACCAGCTAGAACAATAGCACTAAAGCCTCACATTAAAAGCCAGAAGATTAAGAGATTTATTTTTTTTTTTTAATCCATCTCCTTCACAGTAAAAAGAAATGAAAGTGCAGCTATTCAAACTGGGATGGGCTCAGGAGATCAGGAGCTTCAGTCACACTCCTGCAGCACTCCCCAAGGACCTCGCAGGACAGCCCCACCAAACACCTCCCACCATGGGACACCAGCCTGCCAAAGGCACTGCTGCCCCTACTGCTTCCTGCACAAAGGAAAAAGCAATCCTAGTATGAAAAGTACAAATGGCTTGGATTAATAAAGTGTATTAACAAACACTTACTGCATCTTCCACGTCAATACACAAGTGTGCAGAGTGTGCAGATTCACCACCTTGCCTGTTCATCCTCTGCAAGTGGTTATACAGATCATTCAATTTTGTGTAGGTTTCGTTGCAGTTTTTGCACACTTCTGTGTAGTTATTTGGTGACAGATCAATGCCTTGCCCCTAGGGTTATAAAACTCCAAATGAATGACAGTTTAAGGCATTAAACAAAAAATTGGTTTGATTTGCTACTGCTGACACTGACAGGGACATGCTGTGCCATACCAAGCAATCCTTTCCATCTGTGGCCTTCACCACTCCATGAATGCAATACAGGACACTTGAAAACAAAACTACAATCTCTGAAGATATTTCAGCCCAATAATGGCTGTACCAGCTACCCACTGACCACTGGGCTAAGTTCTAGTTCAATCACTTGAGGTTTTCAATAGGCCAGTCCACACTGTTCCTGACCAAGGCCTATAAAGGCACATTTCCTACAAAGCATTAATAAAGAAGCAGACCATATCCTCAAAGATTATCCCATGCCCATTGAAGTAAACTCATTTCACTACTGAATGATCCTGAAATCTGGCCAGCTTCTGACTGAAGTAGAATATGCAGTTTCTTAGGCTATATATGGCATTTTCTCTGAAGACAATTACCATATTTATTTTACTAAGGAAGTTATATTGTCTTTGCAATATGGCCAACCTTTAACCACGAGAAATTTTAACAGTCAAAAGAAATGCTACAAGAATTAAAGGTGTCTGGTACTTCTGAGCTAGTCCATATTATCAAAAGGATACTTAAAGACTGAATTTCTACATAAAAAAGACAACAATTCTACAAAGCAAGTGCACGCAGCCATGCTGGTTTTTACTATGTAATTATCAACTATTGTGAATTCAGAAATTTTGATGTGAAGTAGCATTGCAATTACAGACAAAATGAAGTCAAGGTGAGTATCAATTAGAATTAATTTCAGGCACTCAGTCTGTAAACAACTGCATTTTACCGATCATGGATTTATCTGCCTACAATTCACAAACTCAGCAGCAGTTTATTTGCCTAGTCTGCATCTGTAGTTTATTCAGCATAAATAAAATCTTGGTATCAGTTAGAGGATTTAGTGCTTCTCCTAAATACAGAGCATAAATACCTGAAGGTTATGTTCAAAACATGTCAGAGATTTATTGAATAAATCCAGGAATTCTTCAGTAGAATTTGATAATCCCTCACTGTTATTCTTTAAACAATCTGTATAAAAGAAAGAAAAACATTGGGATATTTTCATTTCTAACATTTCTGCAGCCAGCAAGCCCCAGACACTCTACTCCTGCAAAAAGAGCTCTCAACCAGAAAGGATAGGTCTAGTCAACACTGCAGTTTCCTTATCTGCCTGCCACTGATAACTCAGACCTGCTGACCTAATGGTTCATCGAGAACACATTTCAGAATTAATTGGCCTTGATTAAGTGAAAGATGAAGACTATCATCAAGAGCTTTCTGAAGAGGGGGACTGAATTATCTTTGGATTTCAAGATAAAACAAGACATTACTGTTATTTCCCAGCCCAGAAATCCAGCTTTGCCCAGCAACAGTAACAGCCATTTTGTGGAAGCAGAAGCGCCATCAGCAGAGATGAAATGGTGAGCACCCAGGAAACAGCTAGACCATGAACACAACAGTAGAAATCACAGTGTAATTATTGTTCTTTAAGAAAATAGCTGAGCTTTTTACCAGCTTTGACAGAAGCTCTGGGGCTTTCCTTCTAGTCATGGGCTCAACCCTATGTTACTGCTTCCATCCATGCTAGCCTACTTCAGATGCTCTAATCAGCCAGACCTTTAAAAACAACATTATTTGAGGAATTTAGGAGCTCAGCAACAGCACCATGAAAGCAAGCCAACATCCTAGGAAATCCTTCTGAAAGTAGTAAGCATCATCAGTAGTTTTCTGACAGACTACTGCCCTCAGATTTTGGCCCTTACAAGAGAAAACACTTTCAGAGTGACTGCAGTTCACGACTTGTGCCTTACCTACTGGCTGTATTCAAACAAACATACACAATTCTGATCTGTGCACATTTTAGGGGCTACAGTAGCATCACAGTAGCATGAGAGCTACAGAATGAGTCACATACTTGCGCAGTTGGCTGCCTCCCAGGTTTCATTGAAGAACTCTGAAAGGGTCACAACTATCTGCAGCCTGTCTGAGGTCAAGATGCTTTTGGCACAATTGTGGCTCTCAGAGGAATTCTAGAAATAAAAGCAAAGAAGAAAGGACACAAACAAGCATTAAAAATACAAAGGGGAATTTCTGAAATGTATTTTACACAAGCACATCTAAAACAACACATCACATTGATATTTCTGGAAAAGGCAGAGCAGAAGTGACGGAACAAAAATTTTTTGATTCTCCAATTCATACTGTGAGCAACACATCTTACTGCACACAATCCCTGCAGGTCTACCAGGGCTGCATGCGAGTCAGTAAAAAATACACAGGAAAAAAAAAGAAACAAGCACACAGACAAGACCTCCTCTGCCAGGTGGTTCACATTCATCCATTCCTGGGCTGCAGCCCCAGGAGCCAGCTCAAGGCATGTGCAGTCAGAGAAGGGGTCAGGGTTGTTCTCATTAGACAAAAGGAATAGTTGAGGCAGCTGAACCAGCAGACTGGCCTCAAACAAACCAAACCCAAACAGAAACAGCCTCCAAAGCTGCTGCACCAGCAGCAAACTTCTCCCAGTGCAGCAACACCAGGAACAGAGTCCTCTGTGGAGCAGTGCCTGTGCTCACGCACCCAAACATATGTGCAGGGCAAGCTCTCACCCTCCCCAGACACAGGCACCAAGCTCAATCTGTCTTAGTGACCACCCCCACCCTCAAAGCAGGCTCTGCCCAACTATTACCACAACTTATTCTCTGGACCAAGCTCAAAAACACACAGTGAGTGTAAAAGCAGCTGCAGAACAAACAGGAAGTATTCTGATCAGAATTCAGATACAGAACCGTGACCACCAATCAGCTGACTCCTGTGCTCTAGCTCCTGGTGTCTGGCTGCTAAATTGACTTAAGCACTTCTCAAAATTGCCAAGGCTGCCAAAAGCCTCTTTGATAAGTGATGTGGGACACAGAAAAAAATAATCTCTTTCATGAGAAATTTGTTCGTTACAGTGCTTTACAAGAGATCCAGTTTTTGCCTCTCTTTGTTAAAATGGGAAGGGGAGGTTAAATAAGAACTTTCTCCTGGAGGCTCAGTTGCAGAAGTCAAATATTGCCACATCTGGTAACTCCCACACTTGCCTGCTTTCATTTCTACTAAGTTACAGATATGCAAGAATGTTGTTTATGCAGGAAACTCTGGTTGCTTCACAAAGGCTGTGAATCTTCCTCACCACCTGGGCTCATGAGTAGGAAAAAGCACTTTTACCAAAACTGAATCACACAGACCCAAATAATTCCTTAAATAAAGTTTGCCTAATTGATTCTTTAATTAGCCTGATGAGGAGGATTTATATTTCAGAGATGTCCAAAACTCAAACCAGCCTGCTCCTGTCACACTGCACTCTTAACTACTGTTAAGATGGAAACATCAGATACCTGATTAATTGTAACCAGGGAGTGAGGTTGCAAGAGGCCACCTCCTTTATTCACCTAGTTAGTTAATCCACACATAGAAGGAAAGCCAACAGAAGTGCCTTCCAGACCACGTAGTGAACAAGTCCTCCCAGGCTGCTAGTACTCAAGCACAGCAGCTGCAATGAGCTCATACATATTCTAAGTACCACAATACATCTGGCTACTTAATCCTAGCCAAAATATCATGGTAAATGTACCCAAGAGAATTACACATTACATTTCTCACTTTCACACTACCTAGTCACTGGTGTGAAATAGTTTCCATAAAAGAAACAAACAGACCACAAGTTTGCAAACTAAATCAAGAGACCACCGGCTATATATTTGCCCTGGAGAGGACAATTACCAGGGGAAATGCACGCATTCTTCCTATACAAGCACTGGTGTAGTGAGGAGAAATAGGAAAACAATCCAAAACACTACCCAAAAGCAACACTGATACTTCTCTAATGACAGTAACCTGTGCAGTGAAATGGTTCACAGGCCACTGTGGCACCTTTATTGCCTAGGCTTAAAAAGCAACAGATTTTTCTCATCAATGGCAATTCTAAATCTTGGGATTCAGAAATCCCAAGGCTGAAAGCACAATCCAAGGTACATTCACCATATAAACTTACTCTGTCTGTTCTCTTACCAGGGCACCCACTTTTAGCCATCATCAAAGAACAAAGGTCCTTTTGTCTGATTCACTAATGTCATCGTCACATTATCCCCGGAACTAACTTTTACAAATGGATCAGCTCGATGGAGGATGTAAACAGAAGACCCAGCACCAGCAGTAGAGTCGCTGACCCCTGCCAGTGCTCAGGCTTTCTACACACTCTCCCATCAGCTTTGGAGCCGAGAACACTGTGACACGGCTCCTCAAAGGATGGTGTGCCTCACTCGCCACAGCTTCACAGGCCATCCATTTTCCGGGAAGTGCCAGGCAGCTAAGCTCTAGCAGCGCTCCCCGTTAGTGCCCATACAACCTGTGAGCCGGAGCACTGCTTTAGCCATTGCTACATCAGCAAGAACAACTCAAGTTTTTCCACTCGCACCGCTTTCTCTGCAGGTGGAGCCACTCGCCCCAGCCACGCCAGAGCGGGCGGCACGGACCGTGCCACAGCGGAGCAGAAGGAGGCGGCCGAATCTGGCAGCGGCGCTCCCCAAACACGCCCAGCCTCTGCCAAACTGCCCTGCGCACCGCAGCGAGCCTTCCAGCCCGCCTTCCCGAGGATCCCTCGGCACCTGCCGTGCCCACAGGCCTGCCAGCCTCCCGGAAAGGGGCCAGGCCCCCAGCCCGCCCCGGCAGCCACGCACCCCCCCGGCCCACGGACGCACCCCGACGGCGCGGGCGATGCTGCCGTACTGTGCGAGCAGGCGGCGGTAGTGGCCGTGGCAGCCCTGGCACAGCCGCACCGGGCGGGCGCGCCGGCCCAGGCAGCCCGTCAGCGCCGCGCTGCCCTCCGCGAAGGCGCCCAGGAGGCTGCGGCACTCGGGCTCCAGCTCGGGCAGGTCGCCGGGCAGCCCCGCGCTCCACAGCTCCTCCGCCAGCTCCTGCGCCAGCTCCAGCGGCGGGGTCTGGCGCGGCCCCGCGGCGGCGGCGAGGCCGAGCAGGGCGAGCGCCAGCGCCGGCAGCAGCGCCCGGCACGCAGACCGCGGCGGCGCCATGGCGGCCGCGCCGAGGAACCGGAAGCGCCGCGCCGGCAAAGAGCCGGCCCGCGCCCCGGGGCGCCGCCGCTGATTGGCTGCTCAGATGAGGGGGCGGGGCCAGGGGCGGGGCCGGGCGGGAGCGCGTCCCGGGCCCGTCCCGGACCCATCCCGGGCCCGTCCCGGGCCCATCCCGGGCCCGTCCCGGGCCCATCCCGGGCCCGTCCCGGGACACGGCGCCGAGGTGTCCCCAGGGCCCGGAGTGTGTGCGAGCTGTGCTTGTGCCCGCGGGATGCACCTGCCTCGGACGCATCCTGCTCCGAGGGGAACGCGATTTCATCCAGGTCATACTCTCTTCACCCGAGAAGGGATTTTAAGAGTATCTGTCGTGTGGGAAGTGATTTAAAATATACTCAAATACAGCAGAAATTTAAGGGTAAAAAAAATCCCCCAAACAGAGAAAGAAATTATGACGGAGAAATAAACTGCAACTTTGTGCAAACAAATTATTTCCCACGTTTTATCTGAAGCTGGACACCTTGGCTGTTATCTGGCTCCAAACTTCCCGTGGCAGACTCTGAATAAAACCGCAGCCACCAAAGGAAAACTCCTCTGGGAGCGGGAGGAGTGAGTAGATCTGTGGGTAGCCCCTCGCGGGGTTGAAGTGCCAGGCTATCGGATAACTCTGTCTGGCAGGACCTTGACCCCGTGCCCCTTCCTTCGAACTCAAGCTCTTTCCAGCCGCTTCCACGGGCTTCTCACCGAGTCTGGTGTTTGTAGCCCTTTGGTAAGGCACACATCAGAGAGATGGAGAGCCCGCGATTCCCATAGCATGGTGCCTTCGGGAATAACAGAGCCAAGCAGGAATGGCCCCTGCTTGGGGCTGGTTTTTTGCAGTCGATTAAGAGGCAGCGGTGGTGGCACACGGTGCTGTGACAGATTTGGAGCTGCTGGGAGCCCAGGAGTGTTTGAAGTGGCTTCCAGAGCAACCAGTTGTAGCCAGCTCCACCAGCACCGTGTCACCTGGCCCACCTGATACCGGCTTGCGCCAGTCATGCATAAATGTCACACATGGAAATACCCAAGACAGATTTGTGAAAACACAGAAGTAAAGGTGGTGATACAGATGCTATCAACAGGCAAGGAGCACACAACAGAGAGTTGTCCTCTGAGTGTCCTGGATGCCTCAGCTCTGAAGAGCTGGCTTTTAAAGTAATGAATGAAACAAATGAAAACCACGTCATGAGTATGACACAGACAAATGTGTCAGTGTGGTCAAAAATGTACCACGCTGTCTGTACTTGCAGATGACCAGGGCAAGGGCCTTGGTTTGGGTGCCAGACCTTTCCTGAGCCTTGCTGCCCAGGCTCAAGGCAAGTCCCGCCGACGTTTTCTCCAGGGCCAGGCAGTACCTTCCCGCACAGCGCCTGCTGCTTTGGGGACCGCATCTAGCAGGTGGAAGCCTGAGGCTGCTTAGCCGGACGCGTGTGCCCAGGTGGCCCCGGCAACAGAAGATTGTCACCCTTTCGTGGTGCAGAGGTGCAGCCAAAGCACCGAAAAACCCTGGGGCGGCGGCGCTGCCTGCACCAAGCCGGCACCCGCAGCCCGGAGACGGGAACAGGGGCTGCTTGCCGCCCCTAAGCCACCCTCGGGCCAGCCGGAGTCCAGACAGCCCCGTTTGCCC